AATAATGACGTCGTCAATATAGGCAAAGGCGAATTCGAGATCTCGTAATACTTCGTGAATGAAGCGTTGAAATGTTTGACCTGCATTGCAAAGTCCAAATGTCATGTTAGTAAATTCAAATAATCCAAATGGAGTTATGATCGCCGTTTTTGGAATATCCCCCGGTTCAACTGGTATCTGGTGATATGCCTTAATCAGGTCGATGGTTGAAAAAACTTTTTGGTTATATAACATGTGTGCAAAATCATGTATGTGAGGAACTGGGTAACGATCTGGGATGGTGATTGCATTTAAGCGACGGTAATCTCCGCAAGGTCTCCAACTACCGTCTGGTTTTTTTACCATATGTAAGGGGCTAGCCCAATTGCTGCTTGATGGACGGCATATTCCGGCTGTGACTAAGTTTTGGAATTCTTCTTTTGCTGCTGCTAGCTTGTCTGGAGGTAACCTACGTGGTCTCTCACATATTGGTGGACCTTTTGTTAATATGTGGTGAGTGACTTTGGTCACCTGGCGATTTGTCGGTGTTGGTTTAGTGATGTCGATGTATTCTTTTAGTAGATCTGCAATTTTGCAAGATGTGTTCACAGTTGATATTTTTTGCGCATTTACCTTACGTTCACTTGCGGCTGAGAAAATCTTTGTTGATGTGTCGATCAATCGTTTCATCTTTATGTCTACTATTAATCCGAAATGATTTAAAAAATCTGCACCGATGATTGAAGTGTTTACATCTGCGATAATAAATGGCCATGTGAAATTTCTTCGTAAGCCAAGAGCTAGAGTTATCTCTATTTCTCCAAATGTTTTGATCATAGAACCATTTGCTGCGTAGAGTATTCTTTCGTTCTTATTGTTTGTATTTGAATTTTTTTGTTTGGCGGCAATAAGTGAAACATCTGCACCCGTGTCTATTAGGAATGATTTTTTTGTCTTATTGTCATAGACGAACAGTCTTGTAGATGTTTCGTTTACAACTTCCTCTGCCGCCGTAGACGAAGTCGGTTTTAGCTTTTTGTGCCATATGTGCATGGCTGCTTGCAATTTTTTGCATTTGACCCATATGTTCTATGATACCAACAATTTCTACTGGTCTTTTCTTCACTATCATCATGACATTGCCGGTTTCTGGATGTTGAACGTGAACGTTGATTTGTTCTTGAGCGGTGTTCGGTTGATAATTTCGAGACCATTTTCGTCAGTCTGGTCACTTCTCGTTGAAGTTGTTCGATTTGTGCATCACGTTAAATATGAGCTGCTGCAGGGACGTTAGCTGCATTGACGTAAGTTCCTTGCATTGTTGAGTTTATACGGATTGTTTCGGTTATGTTGTCTGCCAATTCCGCCATCTTAGGTAGTTCCACTTGAATTGTGGCTAGACATGTCTGTACTTCTACAGGAAGACGTTGTAACCATAACCCTTTCAGTAATTGTTCGTCTTGTTTGCTTCCACTAATACGTTGCAATTCGCTTAAAAGATGGGATGGCTTTTTATCCCCAAGCTGTAAACCACTAACTAATTTTTGTACGCGTTTTTGTTCACTATCCGCAAAGTTTTTTATTATTGCTTGCTTGATAGCTTCGTACTTCTGAGTTGCTGGTGGATTCTGTATTGTGTTATAAATTTGTTCTAACAGCGATGCATCCAATGCTGCGATAACTGTGCCAAACTTTTGAGTATCGCCCTTTATGTTGTTGACTTGGAACCAGTAGTCCAACTGAATAAACCAAAGGTCAATGTTGCTTTTTATTAATGTTGGCATCGGCAGCTTTATTGCAGTGATTGTTGCGTTTTCATTGATTGGGTTAGTGTCTTCGGTTGTCTTTTGCTCTTGAGTAGCCATTTTTTTTTTATATATTCGACGTCGGCTTGGTCACCAATGTAGTGGTTTGTTATGTTGGGTTTTATTTCGAATTGAACACTCCGTATTGGTAATGGATAAGTTTATTTATTTCTTATACTTAGTTATTATAAAATATTCTTAAAGTTAAGATTTGTGTTTTTACGTTTTATTCACGTGCTGCTTTGTCTTTTTCCAAACTACTACTGGCGGGAACTGCGGATATTGTTGTCTCCTTTGTGCCTTGTTGACAGTTCTTTTTATTATATTTTTTGGTGCTGCCACAAACTTAAAAGTAACCACTTTTAATCACTGACATTGTCTTGTCTGGGTTTAATTTTTTAATCCAAAGTATACTTTTGATATTATTTGCTCTAATCTGATTTACTACAGGGTATTTACATGTTCTCGTTTCGTTTTCACTGTTCCTTTTTGTTTTGTTTTTACCGAAGTATTTTGCAAATGTTTTTGTTGATAAACAATTTGGAAAAATAGTAATTGCCGTTTTTGTTAGATTAATATTTTTTATATTTTGTAATTAAAAATGCAATACCAAAATAAGTGTTGCAATTAACAACTCAAATAAACCACTTTGGGCAGTAAGATCCTTAAAAATTTCAATCTAAGTGGTGTAGTTCCTATCTAAAGTTTACGGAATTAATCATCCTACCATTCATCAGGGATCCAACAAAGGAATCCTACTTACAAAATAACATTAACATGTAAAAATATTGCTAAAGTATGGATGGCTCAAAACTCTTAATGAGTGTATGACAGCATTTGATTGCATCGGTTTCCAAGCGATGCATCAGCTTACGTGGGAGTAATACCAAAAATAATAGTCCTCTTATTATATATTATAAATTACAACTTAGCAATTAACAAGAGCAACAATTATGTCCGAAGACGTAAGATAATATGTAATTAACACATTCCTGAATTGGTTTGAAGAAGTCTTTGAAAAAATGATTTTTCTAAAGACACTAAAACTGATATTTAATGGTGAGACATTGGTCATTTATAGCTGTTTTAATACACGGTATTAATTAAATGGTATATTCATATAAATTATAAAATAAAAAATTTTTTAGAAGTCATCATTGCATAAATCCCACAAAAAATTTCAATATTTTATTTGGAGGATTTCGTTCTAAAATTCTTCAATTAATTTTTTTGCTAGAAACTGCTTACTTGATCTACAATCCAACACAATACAATCGGTCATCCAAATGAAAGATTCAAGTGAACCGAAGTTTTATTCTTGCCAATCTCATAATGAACTTCACAATTAAAGAACCGATGTCAACACGGACCTAATAAAACCTGACCTAATAAAAGAATGCCATGTAAGTTTTATTTTATTCAAAAAAATATTCTTCAACAAACTCGATCCAAAATTGATCCACTGATAAATAGCTTGAATAATAGAAGAATAGAAGTACAGCGAGGGATCTGTTAGGGGCATTCCCGTATATCCCGTACACAAATGTGCAAAGGCACGCGAAGCTAATTAAAACTGTACGAATTCCTGCGCTATACGGGGAAATGCTCACGTTATACGAGGGTTTGAAATCGGGGGATTACTGTATTTCCTTTTTTACGCATTTTTCTATTCAAAATAGATATAAAATTTCTACAAATTGATTTTCTATAGTCCTCTATTAATCTAGTTAGTTTGATCCCAATTGTGGTTGCTTTTTCTTTTTAGAGAAAACTGATTAAACTCCATACCTATACTATAGAAAAAAATGTTTTCATTCTATATTCGTTATAGATTATAGTTTCCTGTAATCTGTCGTCCTTTGACAGTCTTGTTTTATAATTATTTATTTTTGAAATTTATCGAATAATATATTCTAGTTCCGAGACGGTTAAATTCAGTCTATAATATAATACTACGTTTTTATAATTAATTTTTTATATATCTTAATATTAAGTTGTTCAATATGATTAAGTTTTTTCTAATTTATTTCATTCAGAGTTTTGTATTAATAAATATATTGCAATCAGAAATATATTAAAAATATATTAAAATTTTGTAAAGTATCAGCAGTTTTCTTCCGAACATTTCACTATAACTTTTTTATATCCAATATTTGCTTCGTGTTGCGCTGTGTCGAAAGCAGTTTGTATTTGATTCCATCCAAAGATTTTTCGTACCATACAGCACATTTGTGCCTTACCAGTTGACATTAAATGTAAGGCGGTCGGAAACCTATATGAAACTTCAGTTATTATTAATGCGATATGATATGTAATAGATAAGCTTACATATTTGTAAATCTAAAACTTGGCACCAGTCTTAGATTTTTCATAAGTACGTCTATTGCATTAAAAGTAGCACACTCCGATTCGCACTCGGCTAGCACACAAGTTCCACAGGGCTGCAGTGCCATTACAGCAATATTCATTGTCTGCTCTGATACTGAACAGTTTATGACTACCTCTGGCCAATTATTCAATTTGGCCCAAATCGCATCTAGTATCTGCCGATGACTTGTATCACAATCATAATAAACATAATCAAAGTCGAAACATTTTCGCATTTGTTCCAGATTTTTATGCATATTACACACCACGCAAATGCTGTGTACTCCCATAGATCGTGCACAAAGTGCAGCTGCGATTGCAGTAGGACTGGAACCCATAATAAGTAGTCTTGTTAATGGTGTTATGTGTGTCTTAAAGCAAGCCTGGCAACCCAAGGCTAAGGTTTGCGTTAATGTTGCTTCTTCCAGTGACACTGATTCGGGTATTTTATGACAAAGATCAGCTGGATGTACTTGATATTTCGTTAAAAAACCGTTATAAAGGAGTTGCGCACACATATTGTATGCACCTCGTTTGCAAAAGTCGCAAATTCCACAAGATAAACCAGATTCCATCGCTACTCTGTCACCTGGTTTTAGATTGGTTATACATCTTCCCACCTATGTTAACGAATTGAATAAAAATCAAGAAATACTTTTCGAAATTTTAGTCTACAAACTTTTTGTACTGTTCCCGAAGCATCATGTCCCAACGTCATAGTTGGACACAACTTTCCACCAGTTTCATACAGATGTATGTCAGAACCTGAGATAGCTACCGAATCCGTCTTTATAAGTACATCTAAAAATGCCCATTTTATTAAGATTATATTTTATAACATATTTTTGTCTTCTTATTTATTAAGATATTTACCATATTCACTGAACATTGGCATTGTTTCAGAAACTTTGGTGAGTTTACACACGTCTACAACTTTCACTGCCTCATTTTCACATTCATCATTGCTTTCTTCACATGGATCTGGATCTTCGCATTTATTTTCTTTATTGCAACATTCAACCACTTTCGAACTAAACATTCTAATAGGCCCCGAAAAATTTCGACATGGTATTTGATAATTATTTTTTGAAAAAGTTGTACAATAAGACCCCTTTTGAGAGTACTTATTTTCTACCTTGTAGTAAAAAAAAAATTTAAAGTCAAAAAGTTAAAAAATGTGAAATAAAAATATAATTATTCAAAAACTTTGAAAATAATGTATTAGTTATAACCCGCTTAAAAAGCGTTTTAAAATGTATGAGTCTTTCCAAATAAAGTGGCATAAATGCTGTTCATTCCTTAGTCCAAGAAATGTACCAACAAAAGATTTGAGAGAAATAAGTAATTATCGAAAAAAACTTTTAAATCCTTTTAATAACAAAGCCATATGACCAAACAATTTTAAGGATATTTAGTGAACTGAGCTGAAGAGCGTTTTTGATCAAGTTTTACTTGTCAGCCTGCATCTTGATGAATATATATTAGAAGTTGGGATCCTTCATTTACAATATTTTTCTTAAATGGACCCAAAAAAAAAACAACTCACTATTTTTTAATTAATAAAAATATTTGATTCTTAAGACCGGAATCGACATAAATTTGTAAAAGATAATAAACCACTTCCTTTATAAAAAAAACCCTACCTTTTAATATATCAAAATTCGAGATCATATAGAACTGACAGTAGCTATCATTATAATGTTTATGTAGTATGAACTATGTATGTATCTTACGTTTTTTACATTTCTTTTCCTTCTTCTTCTGCTTCTTGCAGTTTGGTTCCTTGCACAATTTCTTACCGCATGGATTGTCATCATTTTTGAAACAGTCAGCACCATCTTTTCGGCGTATTGTTTTGCGTTTTTTAGGAATGACAGGTCTTCCCTCTACGCATTTACCTGAAGAGCCCTTATCAGCGAAGCTCCTAATACAACTCAGTGATAATACTCTTAGTTCTAGTTTTGTTTTCCATGTTGACATTGTTGTGTGATATTGACGATGTGGAAATATATTCGTTAAGTTTGGTACGAATGCCAATGTACTGAATTTTTTGTCGCTTCCCCCACCGCATTTGGGTTTTGTTGGTTTAGTAGGTTTGTTGCATGCGCCTTTTTTGGCTTCTTTTTCTAGACTTTTACAAGGATCTTCTGTCTTACATTTTGCGTTCGCTTTTTTCTTGCAAGGATCTGCCTTCTTAGACTTACATGGATCTGCGCTCTTCTTTGATTTACATGGATCCGCCTTTTTAGATTTGCAAGGACTTGCTTTCTTGCTTGATTTACATGGATCTGCCTTCTTTTTAGCCCCACATGATCCTGATCCTGAAGCTGCTTTATCTCCGCCTTTATTGCATTGTGGATTAGTTTTTTTCATTTCTTTCTTGCAAGGACCTCCACTTTTCTTTGCATCTGCCTTTTTAGCCCCACACGGATCTGCCTTCTTTTTAGCCCCACATGATCCTGATCCTGAAGCTGCTTTATCTCCGCCTTTATTGCATTGTGGATTAGTTTTTTTCATTTCTTTCTTGCAAGGACCTCCACTTTTCTTTGCATCTGCCTTTTTAGCCCCACACGGATCTGCCTTCTTTTTAGCCCCACATGATCCTGATCCTGAAGCTGCTTTATCTCCGCCTTTATTGCATTGTGGATTAGTTTTTTTCATTTCTTTCTTGCAAGGACCTCCACTTTTCTTTGCATCTGCCTTTTTAGCCCCACACGGATCTGCCTTCTTTTTAGCCCCACATGATCCTGATCCTGAAGCTGCTTTATCTCCGCCTTTATTGCATTGTGGATTAGTTTTTTTCATTTCTTTCTTGCAAGGACCTCCACTTTTCTTTGCATCTGCCTTTTTAGCCCCACACGGATCTGCCTTCTTTTTAGCTCCACATGATCCTGAAGCTGCTTTATCTTCGGCTTTATTGCATTGTGGATTAGTTTTTTTCATTTCTTTCTTGCAAGGACCTCCACTTTTCTTTGCATCTGCTTTTTTAGCCCCACACGGATCTGCCTTCTTTTTAGCTCCACATGATCCTGAAGCTCCTTTAGCTTCGGCTTTTTTGCATTGTGGATTAGTTTTTTTCATTTCTTTCTTGCAAGGACCTCCACTTTTCTTCGCATCTGCCTTTTTAGCCCCACACGGATCTGCCTTCTTTTTAGCTCCACATGAACCAGAACCTCCTTTATCTCCGCCTTTATTGCATTGTGGACTAGTTTTTTTCATTTCTTTCTTGCAAGGACCTCCACTTTTCTTTGCATCTGCTTTTTTAGCCCCACACGGATCTGCCTTCTTTTTAGCCCCACATGAACCAGAAGCTCCTTTATCTGCGGCTTTTTTGCATTGCGGACTTGTTTTTTTCTCTTCTTTCTTGCAAGGACCTGATTTTTTCTTACCTGAATCACCTTTTCCGCATGGATCCGCTTTCTTTGATTTACATGTATCTGCCTTTTTTTTAGGCTTACATGGATCTGCTTCCTTTTTCTTGCATGAATCCTCTTTCTTTTTAGGTTTACATGGATCTGCTTCCTTTTTCTTACATGAATCCTCTTTCTTTTTAGGTTTACATGGATCTGCTTTCTTTTTCTTACATGTATCCTCTTTCTTTTTTGGCTTACAGGGATCTTCTTTCTTCTTATTACATGTATCTTCTTTCTTTTTCTTACATGTATCCTTTTTCTTTTTTGGCTTACAGGGATCGTCTTTCTTTTTGTTGCATGAATCATTTTTGGCTTCTTGTTTTTGTGGTTGACATGGATCTTCTTTTAGCTTATTGCATAAATCAGCTGTGGCAGCTTTTGTTATATCTTCACATGGTTGGCAATCATCTATTGATTTCCTTCTTTGCGCTGCCTCAGCAAGCGCTTTCGCATAAACATTGCAATTCATTAATCCCCACAATGCTCGACTGCCGCTAGATGGCGAGAATACAGAACTGCTATCTACAGCTGGTGCATCACCACCTGTTGATGAATATGATCGGTTTTCAGAGTTCCCTGGAGACACACAACCTTTTTCGCCTTCACGTACACATGTTATGTGAGGATTACGTGGCTTACTCTCTCCCTTTTTAGAAGAATACGTACGAAACATATCAGTTGGAAAACCTTTTTGTAATGCAGCACTGCATATATTTGCAGCTATAGCTGTAACGTTATCATTAAATTGTGCTACCTGTAGTTGGCTTAATTTTTCAAGATTAATTTTTGAGGGATCAATCGATATAACACCCTGTATTAATGCATTAAAATTAAGTGGAATTGTTTGATTTGGATGAATATTTTCCAAATCAAAATTCGTCGTGAGTCCTAAAGTAGGATTTTTAAGAAGCTTTGGGTTTGGCTGATTAAAGATCTCCATTGATTCAACCTCAGCGCTGTGTTCAATTGCTTCTTTAATATTAGTCATATCCATTTCGAAACCAAGTTGTACAGATGATACGGCCATCTGACTTAATTGGCTTTCAATTCCTTTTGACACCTCTGTAAATAAACTATCTTTTGATGCATTCCAATCTTCAACATTAAAGGAATTTGCTGGTACCATCTGCAAATTATCTCTTAGCTGTAGAGAATTTTCTACATTATTGTACATATTTAGATGATCTTGATATTCAGAGTCATCCAATACTGTTAGTACATTATCTGTCGATGGTTTTTCTATATTTTCGTCAAGATCTACGACAGTTGCGGTGTTAGTGACAACTTTAATGCTTGAAGGATTAATAGCATTTGTATTAGCCGATGTTGTAACTATGTAGTCTATTATATTACTGGTTTGAACAGTGGAAGGCGAATTTGGGTCATTCATTTCATTAGGTTTTGTCTCCATAACATCTAAAGGACAATTTTCCATTAGATTTTCGGTAATTGCTTCAACTTGTTTAGCGTGTTCTCGTATAACAGATATGGTACTTAAAGGATCATTCTTAAGGCTTGTACGATCATCAAAGATATTAAGTGGTATAAAGAGAATTTTCATAGAATTTTCATATTTATCCAGGTTCACCAAAGCCACAGGAAGGACGTTTGATATATTTTTATTAAATATTGACGTTGTTTGTCCAGCTACACTCTCAGCTAACTTACCTGACTGGCTGTAATTCCTGTAGAAAGAACTACTAGGAGACATAGGAAAATTTCTAGTTTCAACTAGCCTTGGACGGTATGGACTCTCTTGTCGTGGGCGAAAATGTTGATGATTTGTCGTTGTATGTCCACGCAAACCGAAAGTTTCGGGAAAAACACATTTTGGAGAAGAACATATCGATAGCCGAGTGGATAGCTTAAATATAAAATTTAAGTAAAATAGAGTAAAAGAGAAATGAAATTATATAAAATATTTAAAATAAATTAAATTAAGCTTTAAGTTGTTTTTTTATTTTATATTATTTTACAAAAATATTCAGTGAATAATACTTAAATTATCTACGGATTGAAAATAGACAGAAATATTAAATTTATTTATTTATATATTATTTTATATAAATTTTAATTGCTGTTTAAAATTAATAAATAAAATTATTGGTTTTATTTATTTATTATTTATTTATTTATTTTAATTTATTGTTTATTTATATTTTATATGATTTAGAGTATATAAAACAGAAGAAAGAACAAAGATCATTTACAAAAAAAATAAAATTAATTAAATTAAATTATTTAAATAAAATAAATGAAGCAAAAATAAAACAAAATTGAAGCTTGCCAAAAACTTGAAGATGAAGTGTTATTTATGGATTTTTGTGGAAAAAAGTCCTGATAAATCCAGAGAATAAAAATGGAAGTTAGAAAAGTAACTGTTTAAAAATTGTTTTATTTAATCCTGTATATTTGTTATATTTTTATTATTTTGTACTTACTATTTATTTATTACTATTTGTTACTTTTTAAGTAATTAATTTAATTATTAAATAATCTGTTCAAAAATAATTTTAAATTTGATTCTAGCGATTATAATTCATAAAATAAGATTCACTGGTTCCACATTTATTTCATTTAAAAAACAATAAAAATATGAATACCTTTAGGATTTCAAGAAATGTCAAATCAAATTTAAAATAAAAATTTCATTAAAAAATAAAAGTCAAAGTCCATTTTTATGCATTCTTTAAATGATGATTTTTTAACAAACGCGTAATGTGAGTAATGCCGTACTTAAGGGATTTTGAACTATAATTTAGTCCACTTTCTAAATGTCGCACTATCGGAACATTTATTTACAAACTACTTCGGAGTTGGCAAAAGACTCTGAGAGGTGATGATGAAGAATCTTACAACATAACCACAACATAACCGCGGACGTCCAGGAGATCAAGTCATTTATGAAAACTGATTATTATTACTTACAGGCCAAAAATAAATATTAGCGACAAATTAAACTTTAATAATTTTTTGCAAATTTATTACCTTTTAAAGAGCAAAATATTTGCATAAATTAAAGCATTATTAAAACTTATTTAAATAGTTTAAGAAAAAAAAACGAAGTTTGTACTTACTTTGAATGTGTTGAGAATTTTGCTAAATATTCGCATGTTGAATATTCACTAAACAAATAATTTTGTTTTTGCCGGAAGATGAAAACGGTACTTATAAAAATAAACCAAAATTCTTGCAAATTTATCCAGTAAGCATTTTAGCTTTACTGAAACTGTTCGGAAGGAAATAAATTATAATGAACAACAAACATTTTTCTTTCTATATTTTAAATTTTTTATGTTAATATTTCAAAAAAAAAAAAGTAAACGCTTGCTTTTCTGCATTTCATTTATTTAATTAGATTACAGTATGTTTACACTGTAGCATTTAAAACACTGTAGCATTTCCACAATTAACTCACTGGTTACATAGGTGGGCGTTATCTGAATACTACAAATTGAAATTCCGATACTTAACTAAGGCACTGTTGTTTGATGGTCAGCATCCAAAATTGATATTCCAAAACTCAGTAGAATTCAGAGATCAGCTAAAGTTGGCATAATAAGCCCCCTTAGTAAATGCACTGTGAATACACTAATTGTGATGTTACATTATCTACACAACGATCTCCATATTAAAAATATGCTTACGACAGCGCTGTCAGGATTAAAACAACAGATTGCTTAACAGAACATACACAAGTACATAAGCGAATTCTTAATAAAGTTTTCAACTTACTGTACATACTATACATATAATGAAAACAGTCTATTTTATCTCATATTGATGTTTCGAAAGCTATTTCACAATAATATTTTTATCAAAAAAAAACTTTAAAAAGAATTATAATCTCAATTTTTACGGAAGCCACGAAAATATAATACGAGGTGGATTTAAAACATTGCTCTGTATTTGCACACATTAAATATTTTCTTTTGCTAGTATTTGTCCAGGCTAAAGTCTTAGTGGTTACGTACTAGGATAAGTTCGCCATTTTTATCGATAGCAAGCGTTGATTAAAGAATTTCAAACTTTTGTCATTAAATCGAAGCTAGTTATGGTAGAGAATATAAGCCGGAAATTGTGAGACTAAAACGATTCCTTGTCATCTTTTCTAATCACATTAAATATTAAAATTAGAAGTATATAGTTTAGACATCCATCTTCCATGGACATCTCTCTGGGGATACCGGTTCACATTCTTTCGGATATCGTTCCTATTTCTGTTTTCTATAGCTAGTTAAAAATAGGTTAAAGTCACTCAAAAACATATGTAACACTCAAGCCTCTGTAGACTAAGATTTGGCCTTGGGAACTTATTGAGACTAACTGCTACAATTTATTATGCTAAATGTAGTTCTTTTACAGAAAAGTTACATATTGCTTTTAATACTTTTATAAAAATTATGACAATTTAGACGAAAAAGAAACAATAGAGTTTATTATGTTACTACATACATTCCACTCTAATAATTATGTGCGCTAAAGATAAAGTTCACCCACTTCTATATGGGTGTGTAGCCTTCAGCACGCCCTCAAACAATAATATTCGTCAGCTAGAAATTGCACAAAGACAGGCTCTGAGAAGACTTTTCAAGGTGCCATGTTGCGTTAGGACGAATGACATCCTCAGGGACCTCAAGATTGATCCGATCAAAAAATACATAAAGGATAGAGCCCTGAAACTATTTACGAAAACTGACAGATTTACCAACACCGCGTTATTAAATCTCAGAATGGTTACAGGCACTTCGGGAAGGTATGCAGACCTGAGGCATTGAGTAAAAATATTATAGAGTCACAATGCCATAGAAATTAATTTTTGTTCTAGGTATCTACTACTGGGTACCCAAATCACTCAAATCTCTGCCGACGTCGCTTCAGTCGTTTTTGCTTCATACCAAAGAAGATTTTGCAATATTCTCTGCTTCATAGGTTCAAGAAATTTTTATATTTCTTTTTTGTGTTTTTTTCTCCTTTTGCTCTTTGAGGTGTTGTTATTGCTTCCTTGAATTATAATGTAAGTAGTAAAAAAAATTATTCGCTATTTTATATTCATTCATGCCTACTTGCTTTGTGTTTAAATATAAACATATGGACATTGATATTTTTGTATGTAATTTCGGGGGCAAGAGATATCAAAATTTTATTTGCAGCATTGAAACAATTTTTCATTGTGATGGCATTTGAAGAAAGAGTTATAATTGTTTTCGTAATTAATCGTTATTAAGTATGGATTTCCAATTTTATCGCATTTACATAATATTTATATTAAATCTTAAGAAGTAATACAATCATAAGAACACATATGTATATAAAATATTTACCAATAATTGGTAAAACATTTTTAAAAATAGTATGCTTTAGTTTTGCCAAATGTATTATAATAAAATTTTGTAGAAATCAATTTAAGATGAATAAAAAAACTAAAATTAAACCTTCGGTTTATATGGCAGTTTGAATAATTAACGCTATTTCGCAAATATATGCGCTTCACAGATACTGAATAAGTATAAAAGGAATATCAGTACAAGGGGTACAAGTATATCGACTATTAGCTTTTGCAAGCGGATAATTGCCGAGAAATGGAGATTTATTTAAATAACTGCATAATCATTGATAG